TGGGGTAGACGCGTTTAGTTGTTTCATGTTTGTCTCCTATTATGTTTGTTTCCTATTATGTTTGTTGTGACTAGTTGTTTCCTATTATCTCGGAGCTGTGTGTGGTGAAACATTGTAGATGTCGACATCGGCTGAAGGCAGGTCTATGCAACATAAAGAAGGAGAAGCAAAGTGGCCTCCGGAGAATGAGGCTCGGTTAATATCGTTGATGTTGGACCAAGTTATCTTGGGGAAATGCATCGGCCAGAAGTTCAAAACAAGCAATTGGATGGATATCCAAAAAGCATTGAACAAAGTGTGTGGTCCAGAACACCATTATGAGATAACACAAATCACGAGTAAGCATGATCGGTTGAAAGTGAAGTGGCGTCGGTTCCACAATATGTTGCATAATACAACCAGGTTTGGTTGGAATTCGAAAACTGGGAAGATCACAGGCGGTGACGAAGTTTGGAGCCGGTGGTTCTCGGTTAGTTCATTAGTTCCATTTGTTTCCAATTATGTTTGTTGTGACTAGTTGTACTTTATTAAAGTTGAATTTTAAAAAATATTTGCATAAATTGAAACTGTGGTGATCCTGGTGCTTATAATAGAAATATTTTTGGTTTCATTTCGTTTGTTACATTTGATAAAAAAAAAACAAAAAAAAAGGTGCGCCCATAGGTGTTTCCATTTGTTTCCCTTTTGTGTACTTTTGTTTATAACATAAATATATCCCCCTGGTGACTAATAACAGAAATATCCTGGTGACTTATTATTATATGTTTCCAAACACAGGTGCGCCCATAGGACAAGGACATGAAGAGGCGGGTTTGCGTGCATTACCGTGTGCTGACCACAATTTTCATGGGGATCACGGCAACTGGTAGCGGTGCAAGGGCATCTACATAAACACCCGAAGGAACAAGCAGACGTTGTAGAACCAACGCGACAGTCTTGCCCCTGTAGTTTTCTTGCCTGAATGAACCTATGGCACTTCTTGTTTCCCGAGGAGTTAAGTGATGAGCCAATGAACACCCCGGACAGTGACAGGTGCACTCGTCGCCGTAAAGGGCCCACTTTCACATTCGACAATGACATGAATTCTATTACTGAAGCAAGCCGCACAATCCAGCAAAACGCGCGTCCAAAAGTTGATCAAAAGAGCCTCCAATATGCTTTAAAGGAGCTGGAGTCCTTGGTTGATGTTCCTATGCCGGTTCGAAAGGTTGCTTAGAGGAAGTTTCGTGACCCGTGTAGCCTGTACACATTTCTTGGACTGGAAATGGAAGAAAACCGGCGTGCACCTCTAGATATGTTGATGGATGAGGATGGCAATTTCTACCTGCTACTTTGAACATTGATGAATTTGTGTGTTTTATTCTTGTTTTTTTTATATGAATTTGTGTTGACTTTAATTGTGTTTCTACATCATATTATCTGGCTTAAGGTGTTGTTTCAGTTTGGTCATTGATTTTGTGTTTTTATCATTTACAAAAATTTGTTGATTTTGAAAAGTAGTTCCCACAAATTCTCCATTTGTAGGATGTCGCACATTGATGAAGATGAGGATTACGATGATGTTGAAAATGATGCCGGTCAACAATTAAACGACAACATGGGTGGAGATGTCGACGTTGTTGTTCAGCCGTCTCATTTATCATGTTTGCAACAATATGCTAATATGCTGGAGTTTCAACGCCAATAAATTATACATGTTCATGCAGCGTTTTAGTCTAATCCGCCTATGACACGAATCCGGTATAGGCATTCCACGTACAACGAGGAGGACTGGATTAATGAACTTCTCATAGGGCACGATGGAAGATTCTACGATGCAATGGGTATGAACAAGAAACTTTTCAAATTGCTTTGCAAAGAAATAAAACAGACGGGTTTCCATGGGGATGCAATACAGCAAAAGGTCCGCATCCAAGAAAGTGTTGCGATGTTCTTGCATACGATAAAAGGAAACCAAATACATCGACATGCTGCGAGACATTTCGACGATCTACAGAGACGATTAGTAATCATGGACACCTCAATATCACTGCCCTTCGCACACTTGCTCCCAAATACATACGTCCTCCGTATTTTACTCGTGTTCCTCTATGGATACGAAAGAATCGATATCTATATCCATACTTTAAGGTAAAACGCATAATCAAAATGTATGTCCTGAATCACCTCAACAATTTATGAAATGTTTTCTCTTACCTCAGGATTGCATCGGTGCCATCGACGGAACCATCATACCAGCTTGGGTTCCTGAAGACGATCATGGGAAATACAATTGTCGAAAAGGTTACTTGTCCCAAAATGTTATGGTCGCGTGCGACTTTGATTGCAAGTTCACTTACGTTTTAGCGGGATGGGAAGGCAGTAAATAATGCTCGTATTTTTGCTGAGACATTGACAGACCCCACAAATACTTTCCCGTGCCACCAGAGGGTATGTCTTTATTTTTCTTCCCCTTTTCGTATATATGCGAAGAAAAATTTATTTCTACGGAAATGAAAATAACATTACCATATTGGTTCATTAAACACAACTACTTTGAATCTTAGGGAAATATTATGTGGTCGACTCAGCCTATGCCAATGTCCCGGGATTCATGTCACCTTACCGTGGTGATAGGTACCATCTTCCGGAGTGGATTCGCTCTAACCAAACACCTAAAAATGCGAGAGAGCTCTTTAACCGACGTCATGCCACTGTCCGTAATGTGGTTGAACGTACCTTTGGTATATTGAAAGGTAAGTTTCCCATTATGAAAGGCCTAATGCCAAACTACACGCCTGAGTTCCAAACAGACATAGTTATCGCATGTTGTGTTGTACACAATTTCATCCTTGAGCACCAAAAGTTCGAGAATGTACCGTCGGCCATACAAGACCCGGATTACATACCAGAACCAGACGAAGATGATCATACAATGCCTTTGATGACAACTTTAGATACCTCTAATGTTGGTATGCGTGAATAGTGTGGTTTGCGCGATTCGATTGCTTCCGCCTTATGGGCCGAGCAAGGGGCAGACGTCGGTAGTTGCTATTATGTTTTATTTATTACTAGTGTATTCCAAATTTTAAAGACATATATGCCTGTTAATCTTCTTTCGATACTTTCCACACTAGTATGTCTTGTCTTGTTTTCTAATTAAATTTGGTTATTAAAATAAAAACAAATAAATTAATTATAAAAAATTTGTAGCTTTTATAGTGTTTTGTGTTTTTATATTTTTCTTTATTAACTCACATATAATGAATAATTACTACAGGTTGAATCGATGCAAATTTTCTGACACACTTAACAAAAAGTAGAAGTTCACTTCAAATTAATACATATAAAATTGCCTTACAAAATAACTCATGTGCAACAAAGACAATTTTTTAATACATATGAAATTGGCTTATTTTGCGTTTCAAATTATAATAACGCAACAATTGCCACAATTCAAACAATACATACGCGCCCTTCATCTCTCGATTTATTCTCCTTCTACGTCGAGCTTCCATACGTCGTTCTTCGGCCCAGTAGTCCTGAATCACTTGGTCGAGTTTGCGAGCATTACGTTCATGGCGCGCTAAAATTTCACCGGTATAAGGGTCAAGTTGTAAGAGGTTCGAAAATTATTTTCAAGGTTTTCCAAAGAGGCTCAAGATTCCTCCAATAATGATCTGCTAATGTCCATAACTAAGAGAAAATGATGTATGATATGTTCACATTAAGAATGCACTTTTTAAAAATATTATGACATAAGAAAAGGAAAAAAAAAAGGTATAATGAAAACGAATTTTTGTAAAATTTACCTCAACTACTTCCTCACGATCGACGAGGTCCTTGTCAAGATAGATGGTCTTTGTGTGTATGTCGAAAACACCAAATTGATGTTCTAGGAAATACTTAAAAGTTCGGTACCTTTTTTTCAAGACCATGAACGTGGTATAGCATTCTTTCAAAGTCAGATATTGACCAATTTCACCCAAGGTACTTCTGTGTATTCTGTCGAATGCCATATACAAGTCATGCTCGGAGTTCAACCCTTCTGACTGAATGTAACGTAGAAGTATGGCACAAAAAGATTCCTCATCTGTTGGACGCCATTTGTGTGCAAATCGTTCACGTATATAGCAAAAATGTTCTTCTGGGTTGTTATGTTGAATTCATTGTCAAAACTATGTAGGTATATATAGGGAAAATATGTTGGTGATAATTGTATTGGAGGTGAAATGTAATACTGCATACCGGTCATCTGTGTGGTTCAATTACACACAGAACATCAGATTAAAGGTTACACTGATAACCAATATTAAAATTAACTTAAATGTTACAGCAAAGCGTCGTTAACGTTTGTACCAGTTGATATAGCCATACTATCGTATAACGGTTTACACTATCAACAGTTTAGAGATTACCGAGTCGACATAGCCAAAGTCGACTCTCTCCGCAGACTCCCTATAATATCTCCGGTCAGGGGTCCAGGCATCTCTCGGTCGATTTTCACGTATCGACTAGAATAAGTCGATTCCCTCCGAAAAGACGGATAAGCGCGTCAGTGTCTACTGACGATTGAAGGTGACCCAGTCAACTCGAGTTGATATCCCGAGTCGACTGAAGAAGTCCCGAGGCTTATAGATCCCCGGCGATCCGATACACGTCGATATATCATAGGAAAGTTGTCTAAGGATAAGAAGGAAGCTACTAAGGATAAGGAGGAATCTAAATGCTGACAAGGAGAGGGACAGAATGCGAACCGACTAGGGTATTTTGGACATTTCCAGTAAGTCGGCCAGGGCATCTTGGGAACTTCAGGTAAATGTCTTGCTTCTATATAAAGGAGCTGAGGTAACCCCAAAACCCTA